GGTGCGGAGAAAATCAAGTCAAAAAGAATATGAACTAATTAATATTAGATTTATATACATATTAAAATTAGGAGATTTTAGATAAAGATCAACATATTAGTACTTCCTAGTTCCTACATTATTCCTATTGTCAGCTTGAATAGATCCTAAGGTTTACCTCCCTTTCTCTCCATTGTAATATAAGGTTGTTACAAACAAACTAATAAAGGATTCAAAGATATAGATCCGATTTTAGATAGTAAAGTTGTTTATATTTTACTCCTTGATATTTTAGGTCACGAACTTGTGAGAAAACGTACCTAAACTCCTCCATGCATGTATCTTACTTTTTAAAAAAATAAATAAAAATAAAGTATTCATGTGCTCCGATCCTTCCTTTCAATTTTCTCTTATCCAAACAAAAAACACTAATAACATATTCATGTGTTTTTATCTTTAAAACATGGATAACAAATATGTTAATCATGCATATTAGATCGGCAAAAGTAAGAGGAGGTTACAAATTGTTGGCATGTGTAATCTATCCAATTTTCTTTCTCGTAATCATCTCTACCAATTTTGTTTGTTAGCAAATACATTGTTTAATTTTAAATTTACATCTCAAACCGTAATTTAGATGCTTAAACTTGTATAATGTATGCATGCGAAGCAAGTTTAGTCATTCCAGAAACATGTGAAACTTGCCAATAAGCTTTGGCAATTTACTCGTACATGCAAAAATGAATAAAAAGTCTTAACCTTCTGATTTTTTCATTAGTCATAATATATATACGTACTAGCTTAGATATTGACTAGAAGACAAATTAATTATATTACTAGCTGAAGCCAATCTAGAATAAATAAATACTTAAGAGTACATAAAGAAATAAAACTAAATGCCAAATTCATCTATAGTTCATAAAATATATGAAAATTATAATGTTCAAAGCATTGACGACTCCATTATTACCCGGGCCAAATACTAGTTTACTTTGAAAAATATGATTGATGTCCATTCATCCACGTCTCCAACACTAATACTCGTATGCAATACTGAACCTTCAATCCACAATTCCCCATATGATGAAAACTCTATAGGCTAAATACTAATTATGCAATATTAAAAGTAGTTAATGGTGTTTAAATGTGTAACGAGTTATTGGTTTGGGCGATGCCCCGAGCCATTATAAAATTGCAATTTCGATCAAAATTCAATTTAAGTGGGTTAATATTAAACAATATTAATAAGTGACAGCAGATATAATATTATTTTATATATTTTGCATCAATTGTATAATACAAACCTTTATTGTTTTCATAATACTACTATATATTTATGTAAGTGTGATTGAATCCAAAAAACTAATGAAAGGAGCTCAAAATTTTTTAAAAAAACTTCTTAAAACAATATTTTTTAATTTACGATAATTAATGACACAAACATTTTTGACAAGAACCAAATATATAACATTACTTGTAGTTACGTGACTGATCGTGCTGTAACAATGACCAAAACTTTCATATATAATTACAAAAAGTAAATTAATTAGAAATTTATCTATAATGAATAGTATATCAATATATATATATATAAATATTATATTTTCTATTAATATATATGGCTTTAGGGTCATAACATAATCGTGCATAGTTAAAATGGGAAAAACATTTAGAATCACATCAAAGTATAATATTATATGGGGTACATTAGGGTTACTAATTAAGGGTTTATGGTTTACCATTAGGGTTTAGGGTCAATGTTTAGACTTAAAGTATAGGGTAGTAAGGTTTATGATTTAGGGTTTTAGGTTTAGGGTTAACAGCTTAAGGTTTTAGGGTTAGGGTCAGGGTTAGGGTTTAGGGTTTAGGGGGGTTTGGGGTTTTGGGTTTAGGGTTTAGGGTTCAAGATAGGGTTTAGGGAGGTTTATGGTTTATGGTTTATGGTTAGGGTTAAGGGTTTAGGATTTAGGGTTAGGGGTTAAGGATTATGGGTTTAGGGTTTAAGGGTTTATGGTTTAGGGTTAAGGGTTAAGAGCCAGGCCCATTAATATAAACTTTTCTGCCCACCAAAATAAATCTTGGAGACCCATTTATTGTAATGGGCCCTGGCTAGCCCACCACACTATTAAGCATCAACCTAGCAAACTACTTTTTATGGATTACACCAATCATACACAAATTCAATCAGCTAATTCATATCTTTAATATTTCGCCTAAAAATTTAATTTATTTACCTTCTTATATAGATTATATATGTACAGTAACAATTTATCTACTTTCAAACCAACTTCTGAAATCATATTTTATTCCTTTATTATCCCAAATTTTTGTATGTAAATCAACAAAACGTTTGTATGCCAAATGACGATGAATTAAATTACAAAAAATAATTTAATTGACAAAAAAATCACAAATCTTTACATTTCCAAACCCTAAAACAAAAAATCAACACAAACCCAGAAAATACCAAAGTTGAAGAAAAAAATCAAAACTAAAATACTAAAATGCAATTAAAACAAACCTAGAAGACCTTCTCGCATAATCATACGAATGATCGCGAACACGAGGATAAAGAGGAGGATAACGCTTCTTCTTCTAAGGAGGTTTTTGCGACGACCCACCTTTTGATTACCATTAAAAACTTGAGAAGAAAGAGTAAAACTCCCTAATTTCTCCATTCTCTCTCTGTTTTCTCGAATCATCTGTTCTCTAATCTTCTCATACTCAAATGAACTCTCATTTTAGTTAAATTCAGATTCTGAAGAGGAAAAAGTCTCTCTTCTCATAATGGGTTTTTAATTTTTCTGGGTTTTCTTCTTTATTGGTGGGGTTTCAGAATCAGACTCAATTTGTGGTGCAATTGAAGGAACCCTTTTTCTCAAGGTCATCACCATTGTTGCTTGAACCAAGCTTTCTCTCTCTCTCTCTAAATTCAGGGGTTTTTTTCTCTCTCTAAATTGGAGTGATTGAGTGTGTCAGAGAGAAGAGTGAAGGAATGAATGAAGGAAAATATTTTATTGCGAATATTTGGTACTATGGCACCAGAAGCTTCCCTTGCTTTATTTCACATTTTTCTAATTTGTTGGGGAAAGTAATTTTGGGTGAAAATTTAAAAAATGTGACAATTTTTAATGGCGGTATGTGAAAATTCGGCCTTCCTAATGCAATTTTTTTTGGTTCTCATTATTTGGGAAATTTTGGAGTTAAATGATTACACTGGTTCAAGCGGATAGCTAGTTCACGATACCGTTGATATGATCTAATTTGAAAAATAAATGGCATAATACAAACAATATAGAGCATAACTAGTGTTGGTTTTTTTTTATTAAAAAAAAAAAGAAAACAGTTGAAATTATGGACATGAGAAAATTAGTATGCTTTGACTTAGGTATGATTGTATGATACATATCATGGACTAGACAAGTAGACATAAGCATGTAGATTAGCCAAGAGGGCAAGAGGCATGACACGGAATGACGGAATCATTTTTGTTGAGCTTTGCTGATTGGATTTGACGTTTTCTTTAAGAGAAATTTAAATAGAATGGGTAGCAAATTTAGAGGTGGAAAATGGATTGATTCAATGTAGGTTGAATCATCTTTGATTGATAAGTCATTTGACTTTGATCTAGTCAATTTTGTATATAATGAAACTTACGGAGTACATAAACAAGGACACGAGTGTTAATATTAAGATGTTCTACGTGTATATAGTTTGATCTGATGAACAATGACACAAAAATTCATGTTGAGCGTACATGAACATGAACAAGGACACAAATGTTAATAATATACAAGTAATTCGTATTCTATTATTTGATAAACAAGGACACAAGTATTTTAAGAAGATAGCGTCATAGGGATAGGGATTAAAATCCCTTGATGAATCCTACTATCATGCGAAGTATTTTTATATAGGGGCAAATATTAATGTAATTTATATAAACAAACACTCCATTAGAGTTGTTGGACTTGTAGCCTTGTAAGAACTAGGAGTATGTGGAGTTTTATACTGTTTGTCTTTTGAATCTTTTGACTATTCGCGTTTAAGTTATATTGGTATTGACATTTGACAAGATGATCAATTAAATTATTGAAAGCTGAAATGAAGTAATTATAATGATTTACTTACTAGTTCTTTGATACACATGTGTTTCAGGGTTTTTTGAGATGTCCTGCGGGAGAGTTACAACACCGAGACTGACCTTCGGCTGTCTGTACCTGCAAAACAACGGAGACTCCTCGGGGTGGGAGTTTCGCCTTCGACGATCAAGTTAGAACGTGTTTGAGGAGTAATGTGCGGAAAATAGTAATAACCCCTCTTGAGTCAGGAGGGTTCTGCAATGAAGATTGCTCAGTTAATAACCCCTCCTGAGTCAGGAGGGTTCTGCAATGAAGATTGCTCGGCTTTTGAGTGTATTGAATGTGTATTCAATGTATGTTCTTTTTTATAAATGAGGATGGTTCCTCTATTTATAGAGAAGGAGATCAATCCCCTTCTAGGGCTTTGGTGACACGTGACAGCAAGCTATTGGGACACATGTTGCGTTAACAGTGGTCCGTTTGTTAGGGGTATTTTTAATCCCCAAACAACATGCATAATGTGAAATTTTTTCCGCTTATTAATATATACTCTAGTAATTCTTATCATTAACATACCGTATTTAATTATATCTTACTTTAAAAAGTTAATATTATAGAAATATATATTGAGATAAATTTAACAATATTATTTTCATCAATTTCTATCTTACTCTTGGAGTATATGATACTAACTCTTGTGTTCTTCGAAAAAAAAAATAATATCGTAATTGATTATGTTTAATATACAAATCGAAAAATATGGTCAAACCAAAATACGTGAGTACTAAGGCCTTATTTAGTTCAACTTATTTCAGGAAAAAAAAGTTCAGATCAGAGAAAAAAAATTATGCCCACTTCTCGGCCGGGCCAGGCCGGGTCAAGCTTTGGGCCGGATTTTTTTGTGTTTAAAATGATCGGGACGTACAGGCTTTTTGGGCCTAAAAAATCAACTCATACAAAGTTTAAAATGCATTCCCAAACCTGTAAAAAAAATAAATTTTCAGATCTGACCGGACCCAACCTGATTCCGAGCCAAAAAATTCTGTCCAAAATTAGGCCGGGCCAACATACCGGACTAACTTTGATCACCTCTACAGCAGTAGTACTCCGTAGTTAGAATGTGTTTGCGGCAAAACAAACGACCTTTTTGTATCTTCCCCCTTGTATTGTGAATAACATGTCAAAATCTGGACTCTCCAAACCAAAATATCCCACTGTTGTGCTACCTCTTCTCTTTCTTCACTCATAAGACATTAACATTTGATTTTAACTCCAAATTCGTCCAACATACTTTAACTCTAACTCATCACTACTGACTACTGAATAGCAGGTAATTCAAATTATTCAATTGCAAACTTTGTTCATTTTTTTTTCTTTACATAATTGCTTTTATGTATCACCTTGTTGCTTTAATTTTACTTCTTAATTGCTGCTGTATGTTTAGGGTTTGTACTTTTTTTTTTCAATTGTATTATAATATTAATTTGATTTTTGCTTTTCGTTCATATACTAGCAGTTAATTCCGATTAATGTGATGTTTTCTTGATATTTAGATTAATTCGAATTAATTGTTGATGTTATGATAATAATTTGATGATTGGGTAAATTTGGTATTTGTTTCAATTTTTTTTTTAATTGCAGAACAATAAGATTAGAAAACTTCTGCCAAAATCTGTAATATTTGGAACGATAGTAAAGTCATTGTTAATTTGTACTGATTTGGGAAATTCTTACGGCATGAAAGATGAAGGATAAGAGTTAAGATACTTCATATTAGTTTTTTGGACTATGGTATTGGAATTGGTTTTATGTGATTAATTTATTTCATGGCATATTCGATGAAATTTCTTATGTGCACCAGGAATACAGTGCCTTTCTTATGTTTAAATTTTTCTTTTGTAAAATTTCTGATTCCGCCACTGCAGAGACAGATACACTGCACATTCTGAGAGATACAGAGAAGCGGAGAAGGTATGGCGGCTTTTTCTTCAATGAAAGAGACCCCATCACCAGGCATAGAAATTTCTGAGGAATGGTCAGCTGCTGCAGACACCATAGCGAAAAGTTTTACCAGATCACTGCCTCCTACTGTCTTCATCTGTGGCGCTAAGAACAGTGGCAAAACCACTTTCTCTCGTTACCTCCTCAACACTTTCCTCCCCAGGTCATTTATCTATCTAATTTGTAATTTGGCAAATATTTTCATGTGGGTAGTCATAAGTTTCCCTTTCCCTCCTTGAGATTGAATGGCATTTTTCGTGAAGTTGAAGGTTTGTGCAGATCTTCTGTTTCATTTTTGTGATTTTTCTGCTAAATTGCTGGTTTGCTACAGGATATTATCCGTGTTCTGTGTGAACTTAAATACTTTGTTGGTAAAGTTGGATATAGAATGTAAATAGGGTCGTACATGAACCTTCAAGCTTTTGTATGGAACAATATGGTTTGGATTCTATTAGTTTATGTAATGAACTTGTGTAACTGAACTTCGTTTATTTAATTTATGTTATTTCTCTTCACCAAAAAAAAAAAGTTGGATATAAATGTTTATAGTGCTTTTAATTAGTTGATGTTCTATTTATTGATGTTTTAATTATTTTGGTGATTGTTTTTTGTCGATTAAATTAATAACTGGATTGAGCTTATACTGATATTCATTGAAGGATTCTTTTTAGAATATTTAGAAAGAGAATTTTATATTTGTTTGTCCCCTTGAACTGGAGCATGCAGACTGATAAAAAAGCCATTGTTTCTCGAAATAGCTTGTTTGTTATGTTTGCTGGCAAACATGTATTGATGGGCTTTTGCTTGGATTTCTTTGTAGACTTTGAAACAACCGTTAGTTACTTCTGCGTTGAAACTTGAAATATTTTTTTATTTTTTTTCCCGATGTAATAAACCTGATTGTGTGAATATTTCACATAACTTATTTTATATTGTGTGAATATTTCACATAACTTATCTTGTATTTTGTGAATATCTTTATACATATGTCACTCAATGATATAATGATTGCTTCTGGTTGGCAGATACAAAAGTGTAGCATATCTAGATACGGATGTTGGACAGCCAGAGTTCACTCCTCCAGGATGCCTATCTCTTACTATCATTGATGAAGAAACTCTAGGTGCTTGATTATGGGATTTATTTTTTTGCCTTTTCTTATTATTGTGTATTGTATTTTTTAATATTTACAAAATATACTCTATTCTTAACTTATAGATTGCATTTTACCAATAGACAGTAGTATTATTGATGCTATTCTGTTTCTAATTTATTTCATTTTCTTCATCCAGACTTAACTATCCCTTGTCTGAAGACACCTCAAAGGTATAAATGCCTATTGTAATATATGCTTTCATGTTATTTAAGAGATTGTTATTCATATTGTTGGTGAAAAAAATAAAAATAAATAGATGCATCTGCAACGTCAAATTATTGACCATTATGCGTTTTATTTACGACATTGCCTTTATCTATTGGAAGCTCTTTAATCTTTTTAAGCTCTGATTACTAGTATGCAGTAAATGGACAATTATTTCTTTATCTGTATGCTTTAGCTTAATGTGTTTGGTATCTGTTGGATGTAATACCTGATAAGCTTATCATTTAAAACATCTAACCTTCTGCTGTGTAAAATATCTTTTCTCTCCTTTATAAATTTATTTGTGGCTTTTAAAAAGCTCCTGAAATTTGGGGCATTTTTTTAGTTTTGACGTATAACTATACTTAAGGTGAGAATATGTCAAAAATAAACACCAGGTACATTTAAAAAAAAAAATTTTTGTAGTAATTAGTATCTGGGAGAAGATTTTCAATTGTAGGTACATCAACCATGTATCACGGGCACGTCAATTAAGCATTTGAGGTGCATCAAGAAAATACATTTGGTAATTCAAGGAACTTCTATAAAAATTAAATTTTAAATTAAACCTCCTTGCTCGGTGATTGAAGCTGTTAAAGTGACAGGCCTGATGTCAGCAGGACTTCGGCTGATGGTAATTTTCTAATGAGAGGCAATCAACCATTATATTGAATGTTACACTAAGTATAACCGATTCTGCACCCAGACATAAAAATGTGATAGAGATGTGGAGCATTGAAGGGTTTACAATCCTACTCATTATAATTTAGCTTAAACAGATTCTTGTCATTTCCTTTTCACCTCTTTCTCTCTCTTGAAAATTGTCTGCAAAAATATTTATGAATTTGTTTGGTTTGGTGAAAACAGGATCAAGATGATTGTGTGCATAGCTATGTATTTTTGATTTTTAGTTAATTGCTACCTCATGCATAACATGTACTTTTGTTTACTTCATTGGTGGTCGCAGCATCATTTTGATGGATCAGTGCTGATTTTTTTTTTTTTTGTTTGTTTGTCATAATTTTGTCTTTTGTTGTGCTTATCTTCAGATATGATCAATGATAGTAGTTTCTTTGCATGGGTGTCTGCAGATGCTATTTCTTTGGAGATGTTTCTTCGAAAAGGGACCCAGAAACATACTTGAATTGTATATATGCGTTGTATGATCACTATAGAAAGGACCTAAGGATTTCATGTAAGAGTGGAAGCCCTGGTGCAGCTGAGCTACCCCTTATCATTAACACGCCTGGTTGGGTGAAAGGTAGGCTGTAAAACTATCACTTTTATTCTCCAATAGTGTACCTTTCTTCTTCCTTGGGCATATTTAACATGTAATTCACATTCTTATTGTACAACAGGTCTTGGTTTTGATATACTGGTTGATATATTGAAACACATTGCTGCTACACATGTGGTTAAGATAAATATATCTTCTGGAGAGAAGAATCTACCTAGCGGCGCATTTTGGCTTGATGACCTTGATGAATGTTCCGTAAACTTGGTGGAGATCACTCCTGCTCGCAAGGATTCTTACAACCGATCGTAAGTTCCTGAAATATATAGTCACGTGAACTGGTGGAATTCTAACTTTATATGGCTGGTTGTTCAAAAAAAAAAAAAAAAAAAAAAAAACTTTACGTGGCCTGCATATCTGGGATATCATGATACTATTACTTCTCTTCCTATTCTGCTGTGAGCGTTGGACTGTTTTCACAAAACCTAGTTGTAGCGCTTATTTGTTAGAATCTGACGATAAAAAATGTTTAGCTTGAAAGAAAAAATCTTTGCTGTAGGCACAAATTTAATTTGACACCTGGATTAGTTTAGGCTTTGCATGTTCCATTAATGTTCAAACTCAATCCACATCAACCTTGTCTTTTTTTCTGAAACACTTTTTTACTGGTCCCTGGTTCAGTCTAACCAAATTTGACGAAGGGTTGTTTGACTAATGGGGTAGATTTGCCTATTTGAGGGATAATTGTATAATTAAATTGATCTGAAGTTGATGCCCAACTGAAATAACTGTGTATGCGCACAGGAAATACTTCTTTTATCCCTCCCCCTCTCCTTCTCCCTAACAGTGAACACCATTTATCTCTTTAACTCCTTGCACCTATTTGGACTTGAGGAGTTCAGGGATCAATGTTCCCTGTTTTATTGTTGATTATCGTTTCTACTCTTGTATAGATTTCTTTTCAATAAAAAAAATCAGTATTTGAAGCTTTTGCCTTCTTTTTCTGAAGTTTGAGAATCAATCTTTTTTCTCATGTGTTGATTTATCTGTCTCCCAGGGTGTTGGTACAGAAGAAAGCACGTCTTATTAGAGAGCTACGACTGATGGCTTACTTTAGGCAATGCTTTCCGAGTAGTATGAGTATCACCACAATCAAAGAACTTGCTCTTGCATTAGCCTCTCTTACTCCTTACCAAGTCCCTATATCAAGTATCAAAATCAGGCATCTTCATTGTGAGGTTTGTAGATTTAATAACTCCTTACCAAGTTGCTATACCTATATACAAGTACTTCTATAAAAACATGTTTTTCTATTTGATCAAGGCCAATTTTATGTAATATTTGTGCTAGGTACCAAACTCCGAAGTCTTCTACAGTTTGAATGCAACAATAGTCGGATTGGCTGTTAGCTGTGAAGATTCTCAATCTTTGCCTGTCTGTGTTGGCCTTGGTATGTCCTATATTTCTATAAGACACAATTGATACTAAACTTTTGTGTCAATGCTGGTTTGTATTTTGTTTTCTATGCCACGAAGATCACTCTTTAAATTCCAAAAGACATATTGTAATCATTTTGCTATTTGCAAAGCACACTATTCATTGGCATATGGACATAGTGATGGTATGGAACCTTTATGTTGATATGCATGATATGGGAAATGTATTATAATCAAGATAGCAAGAACTATAAGTAGGCAATGCCCGTGCACTAACTCATATTAGGCCATAGAGGTGAATTGGTGAACATACTTTGAGAATTCCCTGAAATCCATTACTTCTAAGTGCTTTGATTCTAGGATATATATCAAAAAAAAAAAAAAAAGAATTGAAATTTCCCAACAGTTGCTTTAACATTTTACAACTTTCAGTCAATATGTTGAATTTCATTTAGGTGAATGAGTTAGATGTGAGAAAGGTTGAGACTCTATTGGTTGGGGAACTTTTTTAAGCAGCTGGATCTACCTCTAACTTGTATCGGTATTTGAGCAGGTTAGCACCTAGGGGAACCACCTACCCAATTAATTAAAGAGCAAAGTGAAGATGCCTGGTCCTTTTTCTTTGAGGGTTGCTTGTTTATTAAATTATGACACCTTTTGCTTACTACATGCTATTCATTAATTTTCGTGATAGACTTCAATTTTTAATTGTGTGAAAGTATGTATCCTTTCTAAACCTAAGCTGCTAATATAAAACTTTGCCTTTTTTCATTCCTGATTCCAAGTTAGGAACAAATAAACAGTTGAACTTATTAGATGACTGTATTTATGGTTCCCATTGTATAATCTTGTTTAGCAGATGTTTGATACGTGTGTAGCGTTTTAAGGAAGAGTTGATGTTTCAATGTTATTTTGTTGTTCAGGTATCGTGAGAGGCATTGATACCTTGAAGAATGTGATCTATTTGATCACTCCTGTTCCACAGAGTATCCTAGCAGGTGTAGATCTTCTCTTACAAGGATATATTCAGATCCCTACTGGTTTGCTGCAGGTATGGTTATGACTTCAGTTTATGAATTTTCCTCATAGTTCACAGGGGTTTATAATTTGCTTTTGGTCTTTATGTGTTGTTGGTACATTAGTGAAAAATTGTATTGCTATTAGCTGGAGAATTATTGGGGCAGTCCGGCAGATGGCTGATTATTTATCTTAACCTCCTTCACTATTTAAAGTTATCATCTCAAGTCTATATTATGCCTTACTCTTTCTTAAAGCTCTTTGTTCATGGTATCATTCACTGAATATTGGAAACTGGAAAGCTTGAAGTTTAACTTGCTAATTGTTAAAAAGAGCTGATTATTTTGGAATGGCAAAATGTTGATGCGGATTAAGGAGGGAGAGACTATTATATTCTTTTGAGGGGTTGGGGGGGTAATGAACCAGTTTCACTCCTGATGCTATTAGCCTTTATGTACTCTATTCTGATCAAATTAAGCAATGTATAATATTGTTTGAGCAAAGTCATTATTTCCCCTTACAATTGTGGCTCATCATATTAATAAGTTATTGTTTCTCTTACGTTCAATATTTCTTATCCACTTTAAAATCTTGACTTTGCTTCTGCTTTATGATCTTCCTCTTCAGGTACAAGGTTGCATGTCACCTTACATGTCTGCAAATGTCGTAACTGTTCAAGGATTGTCACAGTAGAGTAGATTTAAAGCTGATTAATTAGTACTAGTGTTAAGCACATTATGTGGCCGCGGGAAGAGGAAGCATCTATCCAAAATTAGTTACAAGTATAACTTAGTTACTGAATACTAACAGAATATTGCGTGACAGCAGGAAGAGGAAGGATCCATACATCAATACGTGAATTTAGCTGTAATTTATATGGGCACATATTGTTTTTACAGTGGTGGTTTGATGGACAATATCATGGTAGTATTTGAATTATAATTGATTCTGTCTGATCCTCAATTTGCTGCAAGCCTGCTACCGTGTGAAAAAAAAAGGATTTTTCTCTGTTTTTTCCCCTTATCTAAGAGTGTGATTGAATACAGAGTGCCAAAATGAAGAAAAGGGAAAGAAGTAAAATACATAAGGACCAGGGTGAAGAATGGACGGAGAACGCCTTTAATAGGTAGAACCGCGGTAAGAGAATAGTTACTTCTACTTACTATCGTATTCTGCCGTCATTCCACATTTTAAACACCTTAGATCTTGAGAACTTATTTCAAAATCCTGGACAAACATCATGGTACCGATAATGATTTCGACTTGAAACAAACTCCATGGATGCAGAAACCAGGAGCTTAGTCAGTCTTGACAATGCAATGTTCAAATTATGAACTAAAGATTGTTTTTCAAATGCATAAAAATGAAGTCGATTTTTATATAATTAAGCTAGCAACTTGATCTAAATATAATCGCCGCTCAAATTATACTACAGAGTAGCAATTTGATTTGAAGCTATTTTTTTTATATTTTATTTTTATACAGAATAGTAAAATTAATTATTAGATGTGCTTTATTGATGAAGAAACTACTAATTTTCGAAGCTTTGTGGTAAACTTGACGATTGACCGTTATTATAGGTGTATGGTCCACCAAAAACCTTCATTTTCTCATCAAAACTTAAAGGAGCTATTTCCATTTATAGCCAAACTAATTTCACCATCCTAAACAATCAAGAAAACCTCAATTTCCATTCAAAATAATCTACACAAAATACAATCATTTTTTTTTTTTTAATTTTTTTTTAAAAAAAATTCTCTGTTTGATGAAAATCTAGCCAACCTTTCATTACCATGATCATGATTTTGGCCTAATTCCATTTTACCAAGATAATGATCTAGATTTTCATTTATTTTCATTCATCAATATACGTTACATATTAATTTATTGTAAGAAATATCAAAAGTATAACATCCATATTGAAGAAATAATCTATCTCTGATCTTCAATCTTACACATAATTGGGATTAAGGCTTCGATGTTGTTGTTTTCGTGGTTGTCTGATCCTCGATCTTTTACATATGCCTAGAAGATCAAGAAGATGTCATATTCAGGGCGTTCATTCAGGCATTACGTGGAGCAAGAGCTAGGAAGTCTACCACATTTTGTAATATACGCGGTCCTTGAATGGACCCTCATAGTTTTGCTCTTACTTGATGGTTTCCTAGCATTTGTATCAAGTGAATTTGCGGATTTTTTCGATTTGCAAGCCCCATGTGTTCTGTGCACCAGGATTGATCATATCCTAGCACGTAACAAATCACGTTATTGTTACAATGAAACCATTTGTGACGAGCACAAGAAGGATTTATCCTCCCTTGCATACTGTCATGTTCATAGAAAACTCTCAGACATTCGAACAATGTGTAAAGGATGCCTCCTTTCTTTTGCTACTGACAATAATAAATCTGATTGTACTGAAGGTTACAAAACTTTTTATAAGGGGGGTGTAAATAAGGATCTTGAATTGTTGTTTGATGATGAAATAAAGACTAGGCTTCAGCTGCAACCTCTCTGGAGCGATGAAACTGGTAATGGAAATGGAGTTGGAGATTCGATTTACTGCTCGTGTTGTGGGGAGGCTATGAAGGTTAAGCCTACAGGGTTTCAAAAGGGCAGTGTTGGTAACATTAGCACTAATTCCGGGTTTTTTAGCAGGGTTCCTAGTAGGCTTTCGCAGCAGGGTCCTACTCCTTCCCCTCGTGCTCCTTTTAGTTCGTGGAGAGCAGATGATGTTCGGACCACCTTAGAGCTGTCCCAAATTCGATGCCTAGAGCTTAAGTCGTCTGAAACAAGCAACTTTGATGAGGAGGATGCAGCTAATCTAGCCGTCTCAACTGGTAATTACACGATCCATATTATATGGTTAATATGTGCTTTTTTTATTTGGTTTTGTGTTGCAATTATTAACAACCTATTTCAAATTTCCATTGTTCTGCTATATTTTCTGCTTTTATACCATAGGCTAGAATTCTTAGATAGTAGCTATGATCACTGGTCGATTTTATCATTGGTAGTTGTATATAGGGATAGTATTTGAAAAAGAAATGTAATGATATTTTGTCTAAATCGATTGTTTCTTTGCAGCAGGCAAGGAAGAAGCGAAACTTGCAACAACACCAAAGCCAATAGATGCGGATGATTTTATGGAAGATTTTGGCAGCAGTACTTCATTTGGCAGAAATACATCATTTGGCAGAAATACATCATTTGGCAGAGCTACATCTTTTGGCAGGGGTAACAGATTTTTCGGCGTATCTGATTCAGCAGCTGCTAGTCCAAGGTTTGCTAACCGGATGCCTAGGAAGTCACTCTTGGATAAAGTGGAGCTAGGCTCAGACCCTGTGGAGGCAATCACAGGAAGCGAGACTGATACTGAGGTTATCTTGGACCGCCTAAAGAAGCAAGTTCGATCAGATCGAAAATCTCTTATAGCTCTTTACATGGAATTGGATGAAGAGAGAGGTGCTTCTGCTGTGGCAGCCAACAATGCAATGGCAATGATCACGAGGTTACAGGCAGAAAAGGCGTCTGTTCAAATGGAGGCCTTGCAGTATCAGAGGATGATGGAGGAACAAGCTGAGTATGATAAAGAGGACATTCAAATGTTAAAGGATTTTCTTAATAAGAAAGAGGATGAAATGAGAGACCTAGAGGCCGAGTTAGATCTTTATCGAGACAGATGTGGCTTACCTAATGTGACTCGAGGTGATGTGTATGAAAATTCTCAATCTTTTTCATCAATTTATGAGCAAGGGGATCCACTGTTTAGCATTGGCTCATTTTATGAAGGTGAGTATAGTGGATGGAAGAATGATGATGATGATGATGTTAGTGAATCATCACTTGAAGACGGTGACAATATCGAAACACACGATGATGATGCTCACCACAACCTTGAAGAAGATTGTACTAATGGATCATTCATAGAAATTGAGCATGGTGGATCTTTTAACTTGGATCAACTGAAATATCATGGAGTCGAGGATGCTCCATAGTCTAACTGAATGAGGTTGATGTGCCTTGTCATGAAGAAAGCATAGGACACTTGATTTTTCTCCCATTCCCCCTTTTAAAACAATAAAGGGAAACAAACGCGATGTTTTCTGTTTTGGTTCTTAGGGTGACTAGGCTACACAAATCATTTAGGGATAACAGGATAAAAAAAACAAGGTTTTATGAAATGAGGGCTCAATATTGCAGCTAAGGGACTAAGCAGATGGACAGTGGACGCCATTGCAACCTGTTGTTGGTGTTTCATTCTATATTCAGGGAATCAGTGGTTATATATATCTCAGACTTGAGAAGGAAAAATGATTGCATAAAAGTCCAAAGAAAGTAAAGAGGCTAAAAAACATGTCCTGTTTTATGTGAATATGTAGAATTTAGTCATAATATACTAATGACTAACAGATGATCTCCTTTTAGTCTTTTACCAAAGCAGGTTTGGGAGAACATGCATGATTATGTTATGAGGTTAAATTCTCCCTTTATTTATATTTTCTCATATGCAATTATATCATGTAGAAAAGAACATTGTTGTTCCAAATTACGTAGTAAAATGCGTGCTCTACTATTTCTTGCTCCATTATCTTTGAGGTGGTGTTACCATCAGCAAAGTTGTCTAGGAACATTTTTGTATGTGATCCAATTTGCCAATTTGTCAAAAATTTGAGTTCTTCATGTCAAGTGTACATTTTTTCATTTTTGACATAGAAAAACGACATAAAAAGATCAAATCGAATTGTTATAAAAATATCTACTTTGATGGGAAACAAACATCAAAGATCATTTGATTTATTACTGCACTAAATTAATTAATATCTAGTTTAATTTCTTGAATTGTAATACTTTAATTTATTGCTTTAATAAAATTCTCTCTATGGTCCGTTAAATAACTGAATTTAACAAGGTTGTTTTTTTTTTTTTTTTTTTTTTTTTTTGCCCCATAGTAAATATTTAGGTCAAACTTTGAAAATTTTGACTATAAATTCTTTCGAATGTATAAAAGATACTATAATCATATAAGGTTCTAATTCCATTATTTTTTGTCTGATGTATACAATAAAACGAATCCAGAGAATTTTATTAAAGCAATAAATTAAAGTATTACAATTCAAGAAATTAAACTAGATATTAATTAATTTAAAAGAAAAAGTAAACAATATATTTTAGGATTAAGACCTGAACTTACTAGCTACGCAATTACACTGTACACATGGTTTACACCAAGTTTAGTTTCATCTTTCAACACTAAACAATATATACTTGCGTTGCACTTACCTTGTTTTTTCGATCCTCACTAATTCATATTTTAAAAATTCATTGATGAATTTATATTTGGAAAAATTATCCGAAATAATCCGACTTTCGCGGCGTCCGATCCTTTAAAAATAATCCCACCTTTATATTATTTTTAAATAATCCCACCTTTCATGCCAATCTTCTTCAAATGTTCTCCTCTAATCTATTAAAAATCCATTATATGATGCATATATAACATTAATATCTGCGTCTAATAAAAATATAACATAATCTTGAACTAAATAATTTCAATTCAAGAAACTAAATACTTTATTTTGAATGCTAACAAACTAAATGCTTAATGAAAAGCTAAATAATCCTTATAGCAACATCGATCATTCTCGCTTTCATCGGTATAGTTATCTACGTAACATCCGTGACATTCTTGGCGGCTTCGATTAACCATACTACTCTTTTGCTCTTCCTTGTTCTTCAAGAGGTCATTAGAAGAACTTTGATGCAAACTACCCAAACACTCTGCCTTGGTAAGGTTGTTCTTCAAGGGGGAATAACAATAATCCTCGTCGTGCTTGCTTTCATCCGTACAACTATCTTCGTAACTTTCGTGATCAACCATTTTCTTTTCCTCGATCTCTTCTTTGTTCTTCAAGAAGGCGGCATCATCAACACTAGAATCAACGTTAACCATACTTTCGAAAAACTCTTCCATTGTAGGAAGGTTGTAAGGATAGACGACTTCATCATATGCATCAAGATCTTCAGTAGCGTAACACTTAACGTCGTGCTCGTCTAAGTCAACTCGAGATGAAATGCATGGAAAGTATAAACAATGATCACACAACCAAGAGGTCCATGACTCTTCCATGCTTAGATTATTCGGAAATTTCGGTTCAAGATCATCAATCTTTGGTTGAGTTTTGACATGATCAAGAGTATCAAACAAAGCCATTGTTTTGTTTAGGGTTAAGACAAGTGAGAAAAAATAATACTACGGGTGTATGTAGCTAAGATAATTTGAAGCTCTTAAATGAATAAATGTTTATGCATGCATGTGTATTTATAAATCTTAGGGTTTCATACGTGATTAGATATGATTTACTTTTAAACATAATCTAATAGATATGCTATCATTACGTACTTAAGGAAAGTTTAGGTGAGTAAATTGTTGACCAAGTCTTTAACTAAATTAATACGGATAGTTATAATTAAACAAAGTATAAGGAATACATAAAGTTGTCATAAAGATAGTTATAATAAAACATTGATAAGCTTTTTAAACTAAATAATAAAGACAGTAATTTAAGAAACTAGAAATTAATCTAAAAGAAAAATTGAACATGATTGATTATCTAGAATACAAGATCATCATGAACTTCAATATAATCTAGCTACATAGTTTATAATAATTCTTTTTATTTCCAAGTACAATTGTAGAACTTCTTATTAATTAATTAATTAATTCCGCCTGCTAAACTTCTTTAGTTTCTTGCAATCGAATGCCTTCTTTTTTCCCCTATAATACATGCGAATCATTGTAGTTTTATTTGTTGTCGATCTTGTGTTTCCTCGTCTTAATTGGCATTCATACGGAAAATCATCCTCATCATTAACATCATAATCATCATAATCCTCGCTTTCTTCCGCATAATCACAATAATCATTATCATCAACACCCGAAACTTGAGATTCTTCACTTTGATCAACCATAATCTTCTGCTGTTCTTTCTCCTTGGTCAAGGACTCATCGGAACCATAATACGGGTGCTATTAGCTAAGATATTTTGAAGCTCTTAAATGAATAATGTTTATGCATGCATGTGTATTTATAAAGCTTAGGGTTTTTACGTGATTAAGGATAAGTATATGATTTACTTTTAAACATTATCTAATAGATATTCTAACACTACTTAAGGAAAGTTTAGGTGAGTAAATTGTTGACCAAGTCTTTAACCAAATACGGATAAAATACTGAAATATAATTAGGTGCCCTTAATTAGTTAATCAATAACTAACTAATCTTTTTTTATTTCTGATATACTTAAAAAATTTCGACAAGAAAGTTATCTTTTAGTTTGTTAGTATACTTTCTTATATCAATGCATTCAAAATACGGAGTTTGGAATGTGTAATTGCAATCGAAAAAATATGGAAGGAAAATTTGGTCCAAAGGCAATTGCTAATAGAATGAAATCGAAAGGCTTACAAATTCTAAAGCTGTACTGTGAGATGTGTCAGAAACAGTACGTGTAGGGATGATAATGGATTTAAATGCAATGTTATGAGTGAAGGTCACTTGCGTCAAATGCAAATTTTTGGGCAAAATCCTGAGAATTTTGTTGAAGGGTTTCCCCATGAATCTGAGAATGCTTTTTTAGAGCATATGAGGCGCAGCCATAGATTTAGCCGTGTTGCGGCCACGGTGGTTTACAGTGAGTATATCTCTGATAGGTAACATGTGCACCTGAATGCTACTAAATGGCTCACTTTGACAGAATTTGTGATGCACTTGGGTAGGACAGGGAAGTGTAAGGTGGAGAAGACAGAAAAAGGGTGGTTTCTCACTTATAATGTCAGAGATTCTGAAGCTTTGTTTTATGAGAGGAAGAGAAGATTTCATTTAGACTCTAAACAAGAACTGGAAAAATATAAACAGATGGAGTATGATATGTTATTAATCTTATTTCAACATATTTGTCAAATTGCTATTATGTCAAGATCTTTAGTGTGCCTGGCATATATCTAGCATGACTTATTAGTTTAGTGCAGTAATAAATCAAATGATCTTTGATGTTTGTTTCCCATCAAAGTAGATATTTTTATAACAATTCGATTTGATCTTTTTATGTCGTTTTTCTATGTCAAAAATGAAAAATGTACACTTGACATGAAGAACTCAAATTTTTGACAAATTGGCAAATTGGATCACATACAAAAATGTTCCTAGACAACTTTGCTGATGGTAACACCACCTCAAAGATAATGGAGCAAGAAATAGTAGAGCACGCATTTTACTACGTAATTTGGAACAACAATGTTCTTTTCTACATGATATAATTGCATATGAGAAAATATAAATAAAGGGAGAATTTAACCTCATAACATAATCATGCATGTTCTCCCAAACCTGCTTTGGTAAAAGACTAAAAGGAGATCATCTGTTAGTCATTAGTATATTATGACTAAATTCTACATATTCACATAAAACAGGACATGTTTTTTAGCCTCTTTACTTTCTTTGGACTTTTATGCAATCATTTTTCCTTCTCAAGTCTGAGATATATATAACCACTGATTCCCTGAATATAGAATGAAACACCAACAACAGGTTGCAATGGCGTCCACTGTCCATCTGCTTAGTCCCTTAGCTGCAATATTGAGCCCTCATTTCATAAAACCTTGTTTTTTTTATCCTGTTATCCCTAAATGATTTGTGTAGCCTAGTCACCCTAAGAACCAAAACAGAAAACATCGCGTTTGTTTCCCTTTATTGTTTTAAAAGGGGGAATGGGAGAAAAATCAAGTGTCCTATGCTTTCTTCATGACAAGGCACATCAACCTCATTCAGTTAGACTATGGAGCATCCTCGACTCCATGATATTTCAGTTGATCCAAGTTAAAAGATCCACCATGCTCAATTTCTATGAATGATCCATTAGTACAATCTTCTTCAAGGTTGTGGTGAGCATCATCATCGTGTGTTTCGATATTGTCACCGTCTTCAAGTGATGATTCACTAACATCATCATCATCATCATTCTTCCATCCACTATACTCACCTTCATAAAATGAGCCAATGCTAAACAGTGGATCCCCTTGCTCATAAATTGATGAAAAAGATTGAGAATTTTCATACACATCACCTCGAGTCACATTAGGTAAGCCACATCTGTCTCGATAAAGATCTAACTCGGCCTCTAGGTCTCTCATTTCATCCTCTTTCTTATTAAGAAAATCCTTTAACATTTGAATGTCCTCTTTATCATACTCAGCTTGTTCCTCCATCATCCTCTGATACTGCAAGGCCTCCATTTGAACAGACGCCTTTTCTGCCTGTAACCTCGTGATCATTGCCATTGCATTGTTGGCTGCCACAGCAGAAGCACCTCTCTCTTCATCCAATTCCATGTAAAGAGCTATAAGAGATTTTCGATCTGATCGAACT